CCCCTTGGCACTACGGCCTACCTCCACGAACTTCTACCTCTACTTCGGTTTTTCTATATCTTACACATTCGGTAGGACTCCTTGGGCGGGTGATCAGCTCGTCGCAAGGCCTCTACCTATACACAAACACAGAAAACGCACACACACAAACTAGACATCCATGCCCTGAGTGGGATTCGAACCCACGATCTCGGCTTCCGAGCGAGCGAAGACAGTGCACGCCGATGATGCACATAGACGACATAAAAACAAAACGCAAAGTCAGAGCTATGTAATGCAAAGGGATGCTGCAATTTAACGTAATTGAGATGAATGTTATGGAAATAGGTTTTGGGGGCATTTGCCTGGGCGACTGAGGAGAAATACGAGAAACCTCAGTCCGGATAGCCAATGTCGCGGCGGAGATTCGAACCGAGTACCCCGTGAATACAAGCTAGGCCAGCCCTTTCGCTGATGGAAGTATGCGGTTGCGGCTTTTGGTATCTGCCGTGTTGAAGCGTATGGCCCTGCTGTACATCTGAGATGCTTGTATATTTAACCATTTGACTGCCAAACCTCACCACGGAACTGCCCGATAGAAACCCCAAGGTTGTTTGAGGATAAATGCATTTACACAGAAAAACACACAGAGCTTTCACGAATTACCTTCAAAGGACTACAGGTGCATACAGGGTGAAAGCCTGTTTCTGCCTCTTAGACGCAATCTGTTATTAACATGGAGCGGAACTCTTTGGCTTTGGCAGTTTCAGTGTAGGTACGCCGAGCCTATCTACTCTACCCGTGGAATGCAGAGGGTTAACAGTGTGACCATGTGAATTAAAAATAAGTTTTTTTTACAGTGCAAGGCCTCGTAGTATCTGTGCTTGAAGTAGATTTTTATTCGCAACAAAGGAGAGTATATGTAAAGACTGCGTTGTGACGCCATGTGTTCTAATAGATTGTTACCAACGTTTTTGAGGAACCTGCGACCTTTATCTTCAGAGTAGAAAGGCATTCCTCCACCCTGAAGATAGAGGCAGTAGATTCCTTCCAAACTTCGATACCCATATACAAGACTCCACGACGTGACACCCCAGAAGGCAGTCACCGCTGCATGAGAGCTTGTCATCTCACATGTACAGATATGTTTGCGTAACAAAGGTCATAATTTAAAAGAAAATTGTGACTTGAATGTTGCAGCCATTTTAAATAAATCACAATATTATCGCTACTTGAAAGAAAGCGGTGTCAGCTAGGTGCAAGTAAGGAAAGACACTTGTTTTTCATAGACGCTTAATCTTAACTTCTGCCAACATCACTTGTGATACTCTCTGTTTGAAATATTGTCACATGTTTGGTGGTACGCGTGACGAAAATGACAGGTCCTGGTTCGGATGATTGGATTTATTAGCACTTTGGTTACAACCTCTCTTAATTACAGTCAATACAGCGCTATCGCTGTTTTACACAATTTACAGTTTACCGTTGCACGCGCTCTAGGATTCTCCGCTTCTACTAGTCATCTCCTAGCAACGGATCTCAACACAGAAACTACCACTACAAATCAAGTCTTCTCGTCTTCAGTCACTTTGTACTCCTCTATCTTAATCTGTACTCAACCTCTACACGGGGTTTACTGAAAACGACTTTTGTTGTCCCTTATAAAACTCAGGCTTGAAACCACAGAAAACAAGTCACGTGATTCCTAGTCAGCGACATCATTGGTGCGCTGGCGGTTGCCTAACAACGAAGAATAAAACACTCCTTCACTGAGATACAGCTTCTATCGCTGCGCGTTT